TTCAGGCACCCTGCCCTTCCCTAGTTGTTTATGATGCCTGCCTTGTGGACGCTTTCTCTGTTTGTGATCAGTGTTATTTCTGGGCTGTTGATCTGCATTTCTATTTTTGTACCACAGCCATGACCTATTGGAGATGCAGTCTGGTGCTGAGAGGGGCCTTTCTGCCTTCAATGGTCCCCTGACCTGGTTATATTTTCAACCAGCAGAAAGCTGCTTTGGCTTTCTAGAATAATTTTCTGCACTCAGCTAGGGGGGTGCCTTGGGGAATGACTGATTGCCTTGGGGAGAGGAGGAGTCAGGGCATTTACACTATTATTTAGTCTAATGTTGAGAATCCTGTCTGTTTTCTGTGGCTGATCCTTGGGGAGAATGAGAGTTAGAACTTTCAGAACTCCTGATCTAACCTGCGTTTTCCTGAGCACATTTGCTTCCACGGTATCTGGGAAGCAGGATTCCTGATTTGGCAAGGATTTTTCCTTCTATCCCCCTTTACTCAGGCCCCGAGGCAAAGGTTTTGCTGAGTATTACACCCACAGAAACACAAATGTGTGTTGTTTTAAGATCCTCAGTTACTGGAAATTTATTATTCAGAAGTAGAAAACTAATATTGCTGGGGATTTCAGGTATTTGGCAGTCTATGACCTATGTCCCTGTATCACAAATCTAAAATATGAGACCAACTGCTTTTTACTTGATTCCAATTCTCTCTTTGGTTTCTGAGGCTATAAGTCTTAATGGGAACAGACTGCCCGTCTTTCTCTTGAAGAGTAAACAAGTGGTGGATTCGAACAGCTTACTTTTGCTTAGCCAGCCAGCACCTTACCCATTGTGCCACCAGGGCACTTGCTCTGTGTCATGGTGCTGTAGAATTTGCTGGTCAAGTCTCGGGCATGTGGTCGCTGCCCGACAGGTGATATGACTCTGGGTCATGTGGATGTGTGTATACTTAATTTAATTTGTTGTTGAGAATATATAAAATATACCTCAATTCAGCCATTTCTAAATGTGTAACACAGTGACAGTTGATAGGACGTTCAGTGTAAATTGATTATATCTTTGAATTGTGTCACCATTCTCATCTTCTATCTCTACCGTTATTCTTCTCCCATTAACATAAACTCACTGCCCCAAGTTTGTATGTTATCTTATTGTTAGATAAGATTTTATCTCATTTAAAAATTGTCACTTTGATTCCTAGAAAGATACTTCTTAAAAGAGCATATTGCTCAAGGCAGATATTTTTTTTTACTTGTTAATTATTATTTGAGATTAAGAAGACTTGGTTTAATGTTTGAAGATTAGTTTAGGGCATTAGTTTTAGGGGTTCTCCAGCCTCTCTGGCTCTAGAAAAATCTAGATCCCATGGGAATTCGAAATTCAGTTCTTCTGTTTTACATCCTTCCCACCTTTTGGTAAGATTCTTCTACTGAATCAAAATATTTATAATAATAGCCCAAAATATTAATAATAATAGCCAGGCACCATCTAGTTAGTTTTGACTTGATGGCCATTAGCCATGCATTCCTATTCCTCCTCCTGTTCTGAAATCTTCTTTCCTCTGTAGATCGAGGTGAAGAGAGACCAATTTTTGCTCCCTGAAAAGCTGTTTATAAGCCTAGACACTGTCTTTTGAAATAGAAAGTAAACAGAAGCACAGAACATACTTAGTAGGTCAGTTAACTGGAATGTCCCATGAAGCCATGACCCTCAACCTCCAAATCAAGGAGCTAGATTTCCATAGAGTTTGACTGAATATAAACAGCCTTAACTGCTACTCTTTTCTTGGTTTTGTAATAATATCTGTCACACAGCTTTTGCCATCTCAACCTTTTATAGACTGTCTTAGTTATCTAGTGCTGTTATACAGAAATATCACAAGTGGATGACTTTAACAAACAGAAATTTATTCTCTCACAGTTTCGAAGTCTGGGTTCAGTGAGCAGCTTCAGGTGAAGGCTCTCCGTCTCTGTTGGGTCTGAGGGAAAGGCCTTTTCTCCTTTCAACGTCTGCGGGTCTGGCATCCTTTGGAGAGCTGCATGAGTCTTGCTTGGCCATCAGTCTTCCCCTGTATCTAGGGGGTGGGGTGAGTGTAGTGACCCACTTTTTAGTTGGTGCAGAGATCCCTCTTTGGCTCCCTTTTCTCTCTTTATCATTTGTAAGATGAGAAGTTAGATAGAGTCACATGGATGACGGTTACACAACTGGCAACCCCCTGATAATTATGGCCCAGCCAAACTGACACATATTTTAGGGGGACATAATTCAGTCCACATAGGTATGCAACTTATTGACAGCACTTGCTGTCAAATGCAAATTTTCCATTTCTGTAAACCAAAACTCGGTTCTTCATTAACAAGCTCCCTTCCTTCCCACTCCTGCTCGCACTGCTAAACAGCTGTCTCTGTACATGCAAACATCGCTTGTTCCAGCCTTCCATAGAAGCAGTATGGCCTTTGGTATCTTTTTGTTTCTAATCAAATGCTTAAACTGATGAGTGGGAACTTACTAGACCATTAGGGACCACTTAGGCAAGAGCCGGAATATGATCTATCTTGGCTATAAAGTGAACCCTAAGGTTCAGACAGAACTTCCTTGTTGTGATCATATATAGGAGGGGTAGTGGGCTCATCAGACCCAGAGACACCACCTGGGAGCCGGCGGCCTCACATGTAATCCATTGTGAACATGTGTTAAGACGCGTTGGAGCCCGAGGTTCCGCTGGAGCTTCCCGGATGGTGGCCATGCATGGGAGAGGGCAGTGCATCCCTCTTTGGATATAGCTTTACACTGTGACCTTCTCTTAAACATCGCCTTACATTATCTCTTTGTGTTCTTTTTGGTTGCAAAAAAATTGTAGCCTAAGGTGTAATATTATTATTAGGGACTGTTGACCAAGCTATACCGTCCTCGTCAACAGTGAACCTATTGTTCCAGCCACAGTGTCAGTCTTACCTTGTTTAAAGTCTTCCCTTCCTTTTGCTTACCCTGCACCTTTCCAATCATGATGTCCTATGGGAAGCCAAACTTCATACCAAATATATGAGAACCCTTGTTCAGGAATGAAAGAATTACAGATTTAGAAAATGAGCTGTTTGTTCTCTGCAGACAAGAGACAGCTAGGGCCCCCGTACAGAGTTAGTGTTACTACGTGTGAAATAGTTCCTGAGCTACAGCATTAGGTTGACAATAGAGAAAAATTCGGCTTCATTTACAAGGAATTCTTTTTATCATATATTTCCCCTGATTATCAATAAATACACAGAGAGGCATGGCTTGAGGCCCTTCAGTCTAGAACTGCTGGCCCCCTGTTTTATGCTTTCTGTTCTCTCATTCCTGGCTGTCTGTCTCCTTATTAATAGTTATAAAAATACTTTACCCTCAGTCTGCAGCAATGTCCTTTTCCAAGAACTGGCCCCTTCTAACAACATGCCCAAAGTATGAGAGAAGTTTCACTATCCTTGTCTATGAGAAGCACTCTGATTGCATAAAAATCTCTGAGTCATTCCAGCAAATTAATAGATAAATAGGATTAGTGAGAGCCAGCAGGAATGCGTATCTTCCTGTTGGCATCTGGAAGAAGGTGTCCTTCTAATGTGTGAATGCTACTTAGCTGTGGGTGACTGGGGCTGAGAGGGAGCCATATGAGTAGCAAGTGACAAGGGTGAAGTGCGAATGTGAGGACTGGATCCATTTGGACACTTTGTAAAATTAGATTCATGCAGTTAGCATTGGAGGTGGGAGTGGCTCATTACTTCCCTTGCTTAGTCCAAATGTAGTGCCGGGGAAGATGACCAGGTGCTGGGTCTTGGGGCCAGAATGAGGGGGAGGCAGCCGTCCCTACCTGGATTTGCCCAAGGCCTTTCTCTTGTGTTCCTGTCCTTTTTCTAGGCCCTGTCCACTCACTTAATGAATGAGTTTGGGCAATGGCACTCTGCAGGCAAGGTCTCTCCCGTATGGTTCTGTTGGGCACTGTACTACTCATCATTCATGTCCTTTGGCCGGTTGTGATTTGTGCAAAGAGCAGGGGCAGTGAAGGGATGGCCGTATCTCATCTCTACTAACTCTACAATGGGGAACTGCCAGATCAACAACATCCACAGCACACAACCAATTCCCATGAGGTCAGGCATATTCCCCGTGTTCAGCCACCTTTTTAGACTAATTCCAACTGGTATTACTGCTCTTCCAGGTCTGAAATCTGTTGCAATAACTACACAGACTTATACTCATGGTTAGGGGGTTGATTAGGGAAGTTAATAGATTATACTTCAGCTTGGCAGCAGGATTCAGTCACTCAGGACAAGTTCTGAAGCATGCTCACAGGCCTTTCAGCCTTGAGCTTTGTGGCTTTAGGCCAGTTTTACAAAATTATCTTAGTCCTGCCAATTATGTCATCCCCCCACCCAAGTCCTCCAGCAAGCTTGGGCAAAGACTGCTGGCTCTCATTCCATGGGATAGCTGTCCTCAGGTCAGTGCAGGAATCCTTGGCTCCAAAGGATGTGCGCTGCATTCTGCTGCTGAATCTACTCACTTTAATAGTGAGACTAGCCAATCCCTTTGTGGACAGACCAACATGCTCGATTATGTTTGCATGATCTCGCCGCTCCATAGGACAAAGTCAAACTCAAAGTCTAGGAAAGCTATTTTAAAGCATAAACCCTTGACACCACATAGTTGGTGGCAGGAGCTCGACTGATAGAGATGGAGTGATGAGTTAGGCAGTCTTGGGGTCATGTGATGTTTACGGCAGGGTCTGGACCAGCACTTTCTATTCCCAACTAAGCCATGGCCCTAGGAGTTTTTCATTCTTGCATAAGTGCTATCAGGGTTTTGGGGTCAAGGGCTTTGGCTTGAACTTGGGTGTTAGAGGAGTCCTGATTATGTAATTTGTCTATGTTTTGTTACTTTTGGTCTTCTCTATGCAGCTGAGAATGGGAGAGGGTTCAGCACACAAGGAAGTAATACCTCCGAGTCATCGCTTCTGTATTTCCTCCTGACAGGCTGATCTACAATGCAACATCCCGGGCCACCCAGCTCCCTGTTGGTGTGGATGTGCGTGTCCCTGGCTTTGGGCAGACTTTCTCACTGGAGTTCCTGGATCCCAGCAGATGGAGTGTGGGTACGTAGCCCTCAGTTCTGCCCTCAAGGGCAAAGGGTTGGGGATTTCGCTGGACTCCTGTCAGTACAAGGGAAATAGCCTGTCAGCGGTCTCTGGTGGTTGATGTAGTGAACCCTGTGACACTCCTCCGGCAGTCTCCCTGCAGTAGGATGTCAGTCTCATTGGTGGATTTGGTGGAGATGACCAGTGGTGGCTGTCCCCTCTAATCTTGTGCATTTCTGTCTGCAGGTTCCTATTTCCACACTATAGTGGAAAGCCTTGTGGGCTGGGGCTACACACGGGGTAAGGACGTCCGGGGGGCCCCCTATGACTGGCGCCGAGCCCCAAGTAAGCAACCATTACCTTTCTTTCACTGAGCTTTTGGGAGGTAGGGGTAAGGAAGTCATAGTTACTGTCGACCCTGAATTCTTCCCTTTCCTCTGGGACTCTGGCATCTGGTCAGAGTAGGAAGCCTTGATGCCTCTTTCCAACATGAGCAGTGGGATAGTGTGACCATCACCCCTGATCAGTCTCGTCCATCTCTTCCTCAGGATCCTTCCCCATCCCTTACCTTAGGACTGCTGGGCTTTTGAGCCCTGGAGACAAGAGGCTGAGGAGGATAAATGGAGTCTCTTTGTCTCCTTCCTCCATGAAAATCAAGTCATTCCCACTTGAGTTGTAGCATTCTTTCCAGTCCACTAGTCCTGGGTCTGACCCGAGATGTGGGTAGTGGTTTGGGCCCTAGAACCTTTCCTGCCTGACTCTTGCCTGGCTCTGGCCTATAGATGAAAATGAGCCCTACTTCCTGGCACTTCGCAAGATGATCGAAGAGATGTACCACCTCTACGGGGGCCCTGTGGTGCTGGTGGCCCACAGCATGGGCAACATGTATACACTCTACTTTCTACAGCATCAGCCACAGGCCTGGAAGGATAAGTACATCCAGGCCTTCGTGTCACTGGGTGCCCCCTGGGGCGGCGTGGCCAAGACCCTGCGCGTCCTGGCCTCAGGTAAGTGCCTTCCTGGTCGAGGGTCTGTCTGGTGCTGGGGATGCCACCTTTTCTTTCCCTCCACTGTGACCCTGGGGCCACTTTCACGTCTTGTCTTTTGTTTTTAGTCCTCTTTCTCCAGGGTAGCATTCTTTTTTTTTATTATTTTATTTTATTATTTTTGTGTGCGTGTACTGTCAAATCAGATCTGACTGGTACAGGAGGAGATTGCCCCTCCTTCCCCAGCAGAGCATCTGGTGGATTAGAACTGTGCACCTCTGGGATTGTAGTTGCAGCTTCTTGCCACTAGGCCACCAGAGCTCCCCCAGGGTAGCATTCTTTTTTCAGACTTTTTTTTTTTCTTTAGAAGAGAGTCTAAAATCGCTGCTGATTCTACCTTCTCGAGATAATGGTTGTTATAAATTTGTGACAGAAAGTACAAAGAGTAGCATATCTGTTAACCCCTCACACAGCACACGCACTGCTGAGGCCTGACTGGCCCGGTTTTTTTTTTGACTCCTAGTAAGCCTCTCCTTCCCTCTCACCTCCCACCTTCACTTCTCCTTATCTGCCTTTCTTCAGAGGTTTCTGCGTATTATCCTGTTGGTTAAGTTGTTCTTCCATGTAGGGGCAGGAGAAGCCTCGGTTACATCTGTGAGTAAAACAAGGAGGAAAGAGGTGCAGACCAGCTGGGCTGGCTTGCCTGAAGGTTGAGAAAGCTACTTCCTTCCTGATTGTCTGACCTCAAGCCACCTGCCTCTAAAGCTATAGGATGGGGGGGCCCTGTCTCTAGGAGGGGCCTGGACTGGATGGAAGCCTTGATGCCCCTCACAGGGAGAGTGGTGAACCCGAGCTGTGTCTGATAAGCTTCTTCCTTGACATTGCCTGACAAGCATTTCGGTCAGCTGACCATGTGGCCCGGTGCCTTTCCTCATGATTGGTCTGGGCTGACTGGAGAGTGAACCCAGGGCTCAAAGTTTCCAGTATAGGGTGAGGGCTTATTCCAGACTCCTCTGTGCAGCCTGGAGCTAGAGGAGTAGATGCAAGCACCTTTTCAGTCTGAGAGGGGACTCTAGAGGAGTTTAGGCTCTGGTCCCTTTCACACCTACCCTAACAGCCTCCTTAGAGCTTTGCTTCAGGTTTTCTGGAGAACTCTTTTCGAGTTCTGCTAGCCTGGAATAGGAAGTGGTCCCTGAACCCCTAAGAACTTTCTTAGGGGCTCTGGAGCTAAGTACCAGACAGGATCCTTCCACTTTCAGAATAATGTGTCACTGTAGGTCCTGAAAGGGTAGGAACTCCCTTAGAGGTCCCCCTGGCTGGCGGGTGTGTCTGTGTTGTTTTCAGTCCTAGATGCTGAGGACTCTGGCTCTGTCTTCTGCCTTCTCACCTTCCCTGTCCCTAGCAAGCCTAATAGAGGTAGGGGAGGAGGCCAGGACTGGGTGAATAAGTTCGTCTCATTATGTACCATCAAGTCAGAACCAACTCATAAATGACCTGCCAGCAATTTTTCAGAGGCAGTAAATAGCAGAGAAGGAGATTTCCCATCTTTCTCCCTTGGAGTAGCTGCTGGATTCGAACTGTGTGCTTTTGGGTTGGTAGCACAACTCCTTAAAGCTAAGCCACTAGAGAGAGCTCCCTTGGGTGAATGTAGGTGTTTCTATAGTTAAGTGTGGAAGAGAAAACAATGTGTTTTGGGGCTGCCAACTTGGTAATTGACCTCACAGTGCCAACAGCCTTCTCGGGGATAGGTGTTGAGAGGCAGGGCTTTGAACTGACACGTGCTGAGAACTTACATTTCCACTCTTGATATACTGAATCATATATATGTCTCCTTGCTCTGAGGAGAGTGCTCTTTACAGATCAGGAAACAGTCAATCAGGAAACAGCCCTGTGGGTGTGTGCTGTCTAAATCCCTGGTGACTAAATACAATAGGAAAGAATAAGTCGTGTTTGTGTGCTTTCTAGATGTAGCCAAACCAAAAGGAAGTAATAAAAGCTAATGCAGGGAGGGCTGTTAGCATGGTTGGCAGTAAATGCTTAGAGCTGCTGCAGTGTGGGCAGGGCCCCACTTGGTGAATTCACTGCGGCCAGCTTTCATTCCCGAGCACTGGCTAACCAGAACCTTTCCCTACAGGAGACAACAACCGGATCCCGATGATTGCGTCCCTGAAGATCCGAGAACAACAGCGATCTGCTGTCTCCACCACCTGGTTACTGCCCTACAGCTACACTTGGTCACCTGAGAAGGTATTTGTGCGCACAGCCAGGACCAACTACACACTTCGAGACTATCACCGGTTCTTCAAGGACATTGGCTTTGAGGAAGGCTGGCTCATGCGGCAGGACACAGAGGGGCTAGTTAATGTCACACGGCCACCTGGAGTGCCACTGCACTGCCTCTACGGGACTGGGGTCCCCACACCAGACTCCTTCTACTATGAGAACTTCCCTGACCATGACCCTAAAATCTACTTTGGTGATGGCGATGGGACTGTGAACCTGCAGAGCGCACTGCAGTGCCGCACCTGGCAGGGACGCCAGAAGCAGGAGGTTTTGCTCCTGGAACTGCCAGGGAGTGAGCACATTGAGATGCTGGCTGATACCAACACGCTGGACTACCTGAAACGGGTGCTCCTTGGGCCCTGACTTCCTGTGCCGGACACGCTTGACCTCTCAGGTGGTTGTTGCCCATGGGTTTGTGCCCAGGGTCTTGGAATGTGAAGTGTCTGCCGTGGGGAAGTGCTGCATCTTGTCTTCCTTGTGTGGGAAAGAAAGGAAGAAATCAAGTCTGAACTCAAGGAGCCTTTGATACAACAAAGAATAATGCTGCTGATGGAACTGTCTTCACTTTAGGACTGTTTCTGCAGGCTGGACTGCTTGGCCCTCGGTCCCAGTCCCTAACATTAGGGCCATGCATTCCTCCTGCCCCTATGGCCTAATCACACTTGCACACCAGGGCTCGGTCCCTCAGATTTATTGTGAGGGGTATTATTGAGCTGTGGTCTCAAGTCCCCAAGAGTCCAGGAGTTGAGCTGCTGGTCCTCAGAGTGAAACCTCCCACATACTGGCCATAGCACTAGGCCTATGTGATCTTGCTGCTGGCCATGGGTGACTAGGATTGCTAGTTCCTATGCCCTTCTGTCTGCAGCTTCTTAGGGGGAACCCAGTTCCCTGTGCAGCCTGGGGTGGATTGTTGTATTCACTATGATTCTCCGGCTTGGGCATTCATTACTCCTCCTACCTCCAAGAGCAGCACAGTTGGCCTGACTCAGGGATCAGGATGGGGCAGTAGGTAGCTCCCCAGTTCGTGGGAGTGTATTCCAGAACCCCTGATCTCTCCTTTGTGCTCTTGACTATAGTATTGATGCTAATTTCCCTTTGCCATGGAACTGTGGTCCAGGGACGAAAACAGTGCCCAGTGCCATGACCTTCTAGGTGCCTATGGAGAAAGGGAACTCAGGGAAGTGGCCAAGGTTGCCCGGAGCTTCCTTGTACTGACTTCCCACTAACCTGCCACCACACTGCCACCCTGCCCTAGGGTCTCCACTGTCCAGATGGGCTGGCCTAGGGTGAGAGGAGGTGAGGCTCCTGCCCATCTTGCCATGTACCAGCATCACCAGACAGCTGAGTGGTGTTCAGTTTTAGCCCAGACCCTTGAAGGGGCTTCTTTCACTTGGAAAGCCAAGTGCCTTGGGAGCTCTTCTGGGGGGTTCTTTTCACTCCAGAGGTGCTGCATGAGCCTCCCCATGATGGAGGATTCGGGTCGGCCCCAGTGGCAGTGTCCAAGTAGGTGACTTGGCTATAGGCAGACACTTGGGCCCAGCTTCTAGGCTGGGGTCCCAAGGCCACATTCAGGGACTGTCAGACCAGAGGCTGCTGCTTTCCCACACAGTGTTTATGGGGCTGGATTCTCTGCTGCATACATTCCCAACATCCATCACTTTTCTTTGTTCCTGAGCTGCGGGTCCTGGATGGGGCCTGAGTGATCTGTATCTCAGTGCCAGCAATAAAAGCATTCTGGTTGTAATAAGGAGCTTCTCTGAGCATGAGGGAGGGAGGTGGTGGAGGGTGAAGGGACCTGGAGGGGAAGGTAATCAGGCCTGTATCTTCACTGGGGCTTTAATGGGTTCTTAGCATAGAAATGTGGCCCCTATGTTCTTTTTGGTTTTCATCTTCCTGCTCCTGACAGCCACCCCCTTTTCTTGGAATACAGCTCCCCTCCTGAGACTCAGAACCTGAACCATGTCAATTGGAATGCAGCTCCTGCACTCTGCTTGCCTCTTTCTGGTCAGCGGCCTCTCGGGCCATCTTAGAGCTCCAGCCTGAGGATGGGCCTACAAGCCACCCTGATTACGCTGCACTCTCTTTCCCAGCCTTCTACCTTCCCATGGCTGGTGAGTCTTAGCGTCTTTTGAACACAAAATCCTCTTTTTTTCCCCTTATTATTAATTTCAATGAACAAAACCATCTTTTAGGAGCCCATTCTTCCCCTTTGCTTCTTCAGGCTCATTTCCCCACCGTCTTTCTGTCTTTTGAGAGGCTGAGAAGGAAGAGATACCTGAGAGTGAGGATACTCAGCCTGACAAAGAAAGTGATAGATAGCAAATGAAAATGGTCACAGATTTGGAGAGAAAGAGAAATAGCATCTGAGTCAGAGACATAGGGACGTATGAGGGAGGTACAGTTGGGATTCTGGGGTCCAGACCCAAGTACTTGAGGCACAGAGTTAATGCCCTATAGAGCTTGCTAGTCCTGATGCTAATGTCTAGTGCACCTCTGGCCACCAGAGGGCGCTCGGAACCCTCTCACTGCACGAACTACACATAATGTTAAACCTGGAAGGAAAGGGGCTTTCAGAAAAGGGATGTGGGACTCCCAGGATACACAAGTCCACTCGCAGCAGTGTCCTTGCTGGTCTTGTTACTAAGCGCAAAGGTTTCTTTCTGTAGTTAATTGCCAATAAGCACTTTATTACAGTTCTGGGAGGATAGCAAACACTGTGACACTGATGTGTCAAATGTGATAATGGTTACCCATGGTGGAGCTCCCCAATTAAAACAAACTTGGAAGCAGGAGTGGCATCACTTCCGAAATATCTTGCCTCTGGAAACTTTATGAACATGGAGAAATGATGAAAGTTATACAAGTGTTCAGGTCTTTTGTTCATAGGGTCACTATGAGTTGTCTACAACTCTACAATGGCGCTTAACAACAATTCAGGAAAGGCATTTCTCTTCCTGGTAAACAGGCAAATTAAGATCAATTTACATATGACTGGGAAAAACAGTTTCAAAGAGGTAAGTGGTAATCTAAGAAAGATGCATTTCCTCCAGTGGTAAACTGACAGCTTAAGCTATTTTACATGATTAAAGGAAGGAAACCAAGAATTTTAAGACAAAGCAAGTAGTTTTGCAAGCTGAAGAAAACGTGTCAGTTTTATAACTGATACATATTTTGAGAATTCTAAACTTATTAATGTTAGATATAAAAAAGAGAGAAACAAATTGGACCCAAGAAATGAACGCAAGGGGAGCTCTGGTGGCCTAGTGATAAGGAGCTGGAACTACAATCCCAGAGGCGCGCGGTTCGAGTCCACCAGATGCTCTGCCGGGGAAGGAGGGACAATCTCCTCCTGTACCAGTCAGATCTGATTTGATGGTACACTCACACAAAAATAATAAAATTAAAAAAAAATAGAAAAAAAAAAAGAGAAATGAACGCAGTCTGAGAGGGACACCAGGTGACCTAGCTGCATGGCATGCGGACAGGATCAAAATGGTGCCCAGGCAGTTTGGGGGCTTTCTACAGGAGTCCTGGGGAGGACTAAGATGGTACTTCTTGGAATTTGGCGTGTTAATTAAGTTAGGTTTTTGCTTTTTTTAATCAAGCTCAGACTCTTATTGTTACTGAACGGAGGGGGTTCTTTCCATAGTCTTATCACCAGTAAGACAATGTCCATATATGCACTTTATTACACACATCTGGGAGACAGCGAGTCACCTCCAAGACTGCCTCCCCCTCCCCATCTGGTAGTGGTCATGGCCTTATATAGTAGGGTGAAACTAGCTCATTTAACAATGCACTTTTGTTAGTAAAAAACAAGGTAATTTCTACATCTGAAAATGACAATTCCCATTTAAATATCAGTAATTCAGGAAGGCCTCAGTTCTCTTCCTGGTAAAGAGGCAGATTAAGATACAATTTACATATGACTGGAGAACCAGCTTCACCAGCATCTAGGATAGATGCATTTCCTCTTCTGGTAAACAGATCAAACTATTCTACTTGACTAAAAAGAGGAAACTAAGCAACTAGTTTTGCAGGCTGAAGAAAAAGAACTATAGTTTATAACTGATACCTATATAGAGAATTCTAAACTTACTAATACCACCCTATCATTATCAGGATCTTTGATATGACCAGCTTAGGTGTTAACAAGTTTCTCAGGAAGTGATCAAGCTTGGGGGGTGGGGTGGGGCAGCTCCCATATTCTTTCTTAAATTAATACCACCCCATCAGTCTGAGTGTATGAAAGACAGCAAATCCTAACCCCCAAACTCAGTCCAGCCTGACTACTCCACTGCCCATCCATCAATGCCACCCTGGGGGCTTCACAGCCACTTTCTTAACTGTGACACATTTCAGCCCTTCTACCTGTCACCCTTTTGGTTTCATAGGTGGAGAGGGAGGACATGGAATCAGAGCTGACTTCAGGATCTACACAATCTGTCTCAACTCCAGCCCAGAAATTCTGACTCTGAGCCTCTTTCCTCATCAGAAAAATAGGGACAACTAAAATTCATGGGGTCCTCTGACTCTACTGGACTCTACCCTGTAGACTTTGAGTCAACAGGGATGGCTCACTGGAGACAGAATGAAGCCAGAGTTTTGGGAATTGGTAGTTCTTGTATGTGATTAGTACAACAGAAAGTGAGCTGTCTACCAGAGTAACACGCAAGTGTCCAGAGCCCTTTTTCTGCATGGCCAGTGAGCGGGAGAAGCTATTAGAAAGGGGCAAAGGGCCAGGCCCCAAAATGTACTTGCTCTAAGCGAAGGTGTTTCAGGGAGAGAGTACAGCAAGGGCTGTACCAGCACCACTTCCTGAAGAGATGTTTGGGGGATTTTTTTGGTTTTGTTTTTGGTTTTTTACTGGTTCAGTAATTTTTAAAATTTTATACTGGTTTACTTACAAAGTTCATATACACTTTTCACACTGGATCTTTCCCATTTCCTTAACCCAGTCCTCCTTCCCCCCATCAAATTGTGCATAGGATGATGCCCCTTCCCCCATCCTGAAGAGTTTGATAATTGTTTCAGAACTCCAGTTATGGTTTTAGAAGGGATTAGGCAAGAAGAGATAACAATCATTCTAATCTGTTGGGAGAATTCCCTAAAAAGGATGGGTTGGACGGGTCAGGGTAGGTAGGGGCTAGGAACTCTATTGTGGCAATTGTCCAGGTATAACTAAAACCCATTAACTTGTTGCCACCCAGGCTATTCTGACTCATTGTGGCTCTATAGGACAGTGTAGGCTGCCTCAAAGGGTTTCCAAGACTGCAAGCCTTTTGTAAGCTTACTGCTACATCTTTCTCCCAAGGAGTGGCATTCTCTCAATTAGCAGTCAAGCTCTTAATAATTGTGTCAGGAGGGCTTCTGA